CTCATGACATGAGAATTCCAAATTCTCATGGGATGGTTCTAGATGGTTCTAGATGATTCTAAACCACTCTATATAACCTATAGAACTTGCTTAGATGCAAAGTTGGTGTAAGATTTGAGAGAAGAGAGAGTTGGCCATTTCACTTGCTTCCATTGCAAATTGAAAGCAAAATCCACATTCTGATTCAATTCCATTCATTCTTTCAATCTAAACACATTCCTCTGATCATAGTGAAGCTGTGCAGATCAATTTGAGAGCAAAACCATGGAGATTTGAAGAGTTGACACTTGGATTTTCAAGGTTGCAAGTCACCATCGAATTCTGAGATTCAAGCATTCTCCATCAAATATTTTGCAAACAGTAGCAATATCATCATTCAAGGAAGGTTCCTGAAGAGTTTGAAGGCTTGCAGTGAAGGTTTACACCATCTGTGAATCAAGAAATACCAGGTTAGTAAATTTTCTTCTACACCATGATTTAGGCATGATTAGCAAGAATGGTTAGGTTAGAACTGTTAGAGACCAATAGGAGATGGATTCTGAACAGTTTGAGAGCAATAGGTGAGGTTTCAGTTGGTGTCACCATTTTTGTTTGGACCAAGAACTCGAGTTATGTTGAGATATAGCATGAATTAGATGTCAAGAATCAATCAGTGTGAGTTGGTGATTAATCTGAGGTAGTTAATTGCAAGAATTGTTGAAGTTGATGTCTGAACCTATCTTTGATCTTGGATCGGGTTTGGAGATTTAGGATGTTTCAATTGATTTCAAGACCATGGTTAGATTCAGCATGAAATTCTGGACAGATTAGGGCTTGGAATTTTGGTTTTCCATGAAGAATTGATGAGGTTCGAGTTTGGGGGAAGATGAGCTTGAAGCTCTGAGTTTCCATGGCTTCTCCATAAGAACCCTAGCTGGAGGAAGAAGAAAAAGGCATAGCCATTGGATCATGCACAGACTTGTTGACTGGGTGGAGATCTCACGGCTGAGGTTCAATTTCAGTTGGAGAGGGAATCTGAAGATGACCATGAAACGCATCGTTTCATTAAAAGGGATTTGGGCTGGATTGCTAATTACACCCCACTTTCATGGCCCATTGGTTTTTGAACTGAATTCTATTACTTTCTGCACCGTTCTTTTTTCTTTTTTCTTTATGTTTTTGATTTAATTTCTAATTAGATTTGGGCCTAGCGCGCCTCACTATCCCCACCCCCATTTTGAGCCCATCTGGGAAATGAACTATCTGGCATTGCTATCTGCACCTAGGTTTTTTCATTTTAATTTCTTTTTCTCCATTTTATTTCAATCTTTGAAAAATCATAATAAATAGAAAATTAATGATTTTTGCATGGGGATTTTTTATCCCATTTCATGATAATGTCCAGAAAATTATCAAATAAAAATATTTGCATTTCATGCATTTTTAATATTTTTTGTGTATTTTCCACTTTAATAGCTTTTTAATTCTTTTATGTTGATACATGAATTTGTAGAATTTTGTTTAGCTAGTTCCCTTCATATTTTTAGGCCATTCTTTTTAGGATAGTTAGATTAGGACTTTAGGTCCCCTCTGGATTTATTCCATAATTTTGTGATGAATGTTTGATTAGTTTTGCTTAGATGACTTTAGGTTGTGTAGAATTAGGTCAATCCTTAACATAGGTCCACAATAACACTAGAATTTTGGGTTTCTAGGTCAAGATAGATATTGGGACATATAGGGTATTAAGGGTAGGTATGTAGGATCCCCTAGAAATTATATTAGGTTTTATTATAGTAGTATACTATTTTTAGGTGATTTTTGTAGTTGATGATTGTTTGTGTTGCCCTTGTGGGCTTGTATTTTTGTTTGCTTTGCTTTGTGGGCTTGGAGAGCTTGGTATTGTTTTGAGGAGCATTGTGGAGCATAGTAGAAGACTTGGAGATTGATTGAGGAGCTTGAGAGCTTGGAATCTTATTTGTTTTGTTGTTGTTTTAGGGTTAGGAACTAGGAAGAGTTTAGACCTAGTTAACTTCCTTCTTAAACATGGATGGTATCTTTCACCTCCATTCCTCCCCATGATTCAAAGTCCTTCCATGGTATACACCTCTCTCATTTGGAGGGATAAGTGATGGTACCTAGGAAGTAGAACTTTTGAGGGAACCATTCCTTTGATGTTGAACCCTTATAGGTCACCTTTGGTGGTCAGTAAGCAGTTTAACACCCCAGCTTATCCAGTTAAGTGATTTCCTCTGGTTTGAATATCTTGAGAGATGTTGAGCTTGAGTGTGAAGATGAAGACTTTATTGAAGAGTGTTGAAGAGAGGATGATTCCTTGAGCATTGCCATTCCAGCTGAAGCTTGAAGAGCCACAAGAGCAAGTTGATACATGAAGACCCAATGAAGATCCAGTAAAGACTGAATGAAGAGCTGAGGCTTAAAGGTTGAAGGATGAAGTTGATACTTCTAAGTGATTAAAGGTTACTCTGAGAAGCTGATGCTTGCAGGAAGAGAAGACCAAGTTGAGACTGGTAAAGCAAGAAGAGCTTGAGAGCTTGAGATCTGGAAGGCTAAGTTGATACTTAGGAAGAGGATTCAATTGAGTGTAGAGCTGAAGCTTGAAGACCAAAGGAAGTTGATACTTACTTTGGAGCTTGGAGATCCTGAAGGAATCAAGTTGACACTTGGGGTTAAGAGTTAAGCCTGAAGGTGGAACTGATCCAGAAGCTGAAGCTTAAAGGAGAAGATAAGTTGAAACTTATGTTGAAGGGTTGAAACCTGGAAAAGAAAATTGATATTTGTCAAGAGTGATTGAAGTCTGAAGACTGAGTTGCTGTTGGGAGAGCTGAAGCTTGAAGTTGAGAGAGGAGTTGATCTGCTTTCTTATCTTTTTCTTTGCTGTATTGATGTGTTTTGTTTGACTTGCTTGATGCATTAGAGTAAGTTCATATCTAGACTAAGTAGAATCTAGGAGCATGATTGCACTAGAGGTTGAGTTGCTCCCTCTGCTTGTACTGTTACTGTGTGGCTTTGCTTGCGGGTATTCGGTAGAGCCCTGCTCCCTTGCCCATATGGTTTGTTCTGCTTGATAGCACTTTATTTCTTCTGTATGATTGCAGTTTACTGTATTGCTTGATAGCATGTGTTATATTTCAGTATGATTACTGTTATTCATTCTGGCTTGAGGTTGAGATGAGCTTGTGGAGGCTGAAGCCCCACACACATTTCCTCCCTCACTTGCATTGCATGCATTTTACTGTTAAGCTGATGCTTTGTCTGTTTTGGTGTATCATTGACATGATCCCTTAGGACTCTCATTTCCTTTGATAAGGAATTGATGATAGAACTTTAGGTTGAAACCTATGCATGACAATTTCTAGGAGTTCCCTGTTCAAACCTCAACCATAGGATGAATCCTTGGCATGACAACAGTAGGACTCGATAGTCTCCCTCCTAGTAGAGCCTGTTCTCTTCTCATCTCAAAACAGTTTAAGATACAGTAATCATGAATGATTTCTTTCGTACGTTACGAGCCTTAAGCTATCTGAGAAAGGATTGTGGGAGAGTTTCTTTTCCACAGTCTGGATGTTTAGTATGGTACCCTTTGGGTGACATGCGACGCATTCACTCTCAGGTCATAGTCTCTAGTGCGATTGAAATTGCAAACACAATAAAAAACACTTCTTTCGTAAAAGACAGGAAATAATGCGTAGTTTCCCGAACTACGTAAGCTCTGATCTCTCATACCTATTGAGAGTACGTAGGCACAATACTAATGTATTGGCGAGCTACCTTCCCCCGTAACCCGTCGTAGGCCGAACTACGTTGACTCTGATTTCTCATTCTCTGATGAGAATACGTAGGCATAAAGTGCGACGCTTTGCCGAGTCATTTTTCTTTTCTGTTTAAGCCAGCCTTGATAGGTAGATAGAAAAAACCAACCCGTCCAGTAAACACAACAAGCGTGGATCCCGTCGAGTACGACGGACGTGAGGGGTGCTAATACCTTCCCCTTGCGTAATAGACTCCCGAACCCAGACAATGGTTGCGATGACCTTGTCTTACCCTTTTTTGTCAGGTTTTGTCCGATCGTTTCCTTTCCCGTTCTGAAGGATAAATAACGAAAGGTGGCGACTCTTCTGTTGTGCCGGCACCTTATTTTCGCGAAAGCGACAGTACCCTGCTTGATTACAAACACTGAGAACTTGTGTTGAGTTTCCATTTGTTATTATTGTTTTCTTATGATGGTTACCTTTTAAAATATATGGTTGCCGAGAGTGCTAGTTCTAACTGTCTGTAGTCTTTATTTTTATTGATCACGGATTCCTATGATAGTCTGTTGAAAGGTGGCTTGTGGATAAAGCAGCAGTTGATGATACAGCCGGTGCTGCAAAGGTAATTGTGGAATTGTTGGAAGCTATTTTTCTTGTATCATTTCAAGTGTTTCTGTTTATTAATGGTCACGTTTATGTACATTTGACTTGCTTAGAAATGAAGCACTAGATAGCTCACAATTTGTTTTGATTTTAAAAAGCCTGGTTAACAAATGTCCTTAGGATACTGGTTAAGGAATCAAGTAATGAAAAAGTCATCCACTAAATATCAGTTAATGATTGTATATTAATGTGTTGGGTATATTTCTGTGACTTTGCCTTCATGCGCAATTTCAAAGACAGAATTTCAAATATAATGCAATTTTACTTAAGCTGGTGTATTTGTTACTGCCACACAGGATTATATAACTAGTTTAGAAAAACTCGCAAAACCGAAGGTGCTGGATTTGTTTCAAAAAAGATATTTACGCTTACTCACGGTAGGTAACTATACTTCCACTATTGATATCAGTTCATTTTCTCTAAGGGTGTGTGTGGAAAATGATAGTTTATTTTCCACCTTCTCATGTTATTGGTGTATTACATTAATCTCATGTGCTTTCCATTCAAAATTGACATCTTTTTAATTTTCTTTAATCCAACAAGTACAAATTTTGATGTATTCATGACCAGATCGCGATAGGGCTAATGGTCTGCCAGCAATTTGGTGGAATCAATGGAATTGTTTTTTATGCCAGCAGTATTTTTGACCTAGCAGGTACTTCTCTAATCATAATTTTTCATTCAAAATCTGTCATTTACATATGACTTATAATTCCCAATGAAATCGTGTCTTAAATCTTCATGAAGAACTCAGTTTCTTATTTTGTCGTAGGATTTCCTTCCACGGTCGGGAGTATATATTTTGCTATTATTCAGGTTCTTATTTTTAACTTGACTAGTAGTACTAGTCATCACAACACTCATTCTACGAGTCAAGATTTTAGAGATGATCTTGTAAATTATGGTACAACAAGAGATGGGTCTAAAATCTTTGATTGATTTTCCTGCATTGCCTTTAGTCACAAGAGAGACCAAAGAAGAGTTGATAGCAGGATACATCCTATTATTATTATTAAAGTAATCCATAACAACTACAATAACATCCCGCTTGACAGTACTCCAAAAGGCCTTGTAAAACTTAGCACCAAACCCATCCTTTAAGTGTCCAATATCCTTAAGGGCATGACAGTTCTCAGTTTCAGTAACAAGGATCTCAAGCAATCTTCTTTTATCAACAGACAATTGAGGGCATTAGCTTTTCCCATAAGATTACCATAAAACTCCATAATTCCATTTTCTATGTCTTCTTGATTGGATAAGAGGGTGTCATCATCCTTATAGATAGTTGACAAATCATTGTGACAACGTTTATCCTTGACTTGAGCATAGAAATATATGTTATTGCCATCCCTCAGCCTTAACCAGATGATTTTAGATCTCTGTTTGAGAATTTTCTCTTCAATCTCACTCCATTTAAATACCTATTCAGCGTTATCTTTAACCTCCTTAATAAGACCAGGATTGTCCCCATCATGCATAAGCCTATCTTGAGTATCCAGCAGGTGAATTCTAGCATTCTTTATGGAGTAGGAAGCCTCTATCAGAGGTTTTCTAAGAGCTCTGGTACTAGCATGAACCCTGATTTGCTTCTTCCACAAGACAAACATAGGCCTCCCATTAAAAGGGGCCCTCCACCTATTCGTTACTTCCTTTTGATAGCCATCCATATCATTCACGTTATTCAGGAACTTGAAATCATTCATCCTCTTTTGTCTGTTCAGCTCATGACTATTTAAAAGAAGTATAGCATGGTCTGAAACACTAAGAGCCAAAATGTTAAGGCTGACATGAATGTATTTCTTATACCATTCCACATTGGCCAGAACATGATCAATCCTAAAGTAAATAACATTTTCATTATGCTTGTTAGACCATGTGTAGTAATCACCAACACTATCCATCTCATTCAGATTGGTTCTATCCATCATGGAAATTAAATCCTTATATCCATTTTCATGAACCATGTTCCCCCTTCTGTCCATAGTTTTCAAGATATTATTAAAGTCTCCAATCAAGAACTAAGGGCCCTGCTGGGACAGGTGAATTTGATCAATGTCCTTCCATAATCTCCTCCTATGATCCAACTGATTAAGACAATAAACAACATTAAACCAAAATAAGAAGTTGCCACATAAATCATAGATACCACAATGGATGAACTGCACAGTGCTAGCAATCTTCTTAACCTCTACTTTATTATTGTTCCACCAAATCCAGAGTCTACCATTATCATGATTATGGTAATTATCCATGAACATGCTTTTGAGATTAAGTCTGTCTCTAGTCTTAGCATCCTTGTCCTTCTTAGCTCTAGTTTCAATAATTACAACTATCATAGGGTTAAGACATAGAAGGCTGGAACTTACCTCTATATTCTTTACCATTTTATTTATCCCCCTTACATTCCAAGACACGATCGTGGCACCTTATTTATCCCCCTTCACCAGCACAGTGTCTTTGTCATGGAAGGAATTGAAACGCAGAATAAAACACTCCTCATCATTATAGAACATATTCGGTAACTTCATAAAATTTCAGTTCTTCATCATAAATTGTTTTTATAATTAAAACTGACATTGGTATTTTAAAATTATGATTAAATATATAAACATTTATTTTTAAAAGGTAGTCTCATATTGAAGTTGATATTTTATAAGAAAGGCTCACACACAGACACATACTAACCAGTAACTACAACTATAATATTTATATATCTATACGTGGTTGGTTCAAGTGGACAGAAAGGTAACTCTGTCAAGTGGGAGAGTCACAAGCTGAGGTGTAACATCCTTCAATGGAAGAACCCCTCCTTCCTTGTTATTAAATTTAGTTACATTATTCACTTTGGAACTTTTATTGTTCTGATGCTTTTTGCTGTTAACTATTGATGGTGCAGGACTTGCAGATTTAGCTACTGTTGCGTATGGCACAGTTCTCCCAGCGGCGGAATCATGTTAATGGAAATACAGGATAATGTTTACATTGATTCAATATACATACAAATAAAGAGAAAACAATATCAAACGTGCAAGATCCTCAATTTTGATGGGTGTGGTATTCAGCAAAAAGTGCAGCTGCTTCTATATTTATGTGATTGTATTTGGCTTTCCCTTACTATCTGTTAGAATTGGTGTCTATACTTGTATTAGGCTAATCTTTGGAACAAGTTGTAGGATTCATAGTAGAAACAAGTTACATCAGTATTAATGGCTTTATATCTGCTTAATATTGAGTTGTTATATGCTATGTGCCTTTGGATGTTAGTGCCATATTAATATGGTTCTACATAATTTTGTGATAATAAAAAGAAGAGTTAGTTCTGCAACAGTTTTTTCATAATTTTGTGATAATTTTCTGATATATAATTTTGTGATAATGAAAAGAAGAGTTAATTTTCTGATAATTTTGGGTGTAATTTGTTGATTGAGTTGGATAGTCTGATTTGGGGATAAATTGTTAAATGGGAAAACTACATCTGATCTGTGTGATTATCCAAAAAAACAACAACTTCTTAGGTCGGTTAATTATACCCGACTTAAGAAGTAAGTTCTTAGGTCGGGTATAAATGATTTCTGCAGGCTAGACTTATTAAGTCGGGTTCTGCCTAACCGACCTAAGAAGTTGTTTCTTAAGTCAGGTCCACAACCGACTTAAGAAGTCAAAACTTCTTATGTCGGTAATTCTTAGGTCGGGCTCGGACCCGACTTAAAAAGTCATTTTTAACCGACTTAAGAAGCCTTTTTTCCACTAGTGCATGACCACCACCTCAAAACCCTACTTTTTACCCTCTTTCCGCTACTCAAACTCGTTTCACCTGAACATCACCTTAATTCATTGTTTCAATACCAAAACCCAAGAACTCTAGAAATTTGAATAAGAAATTAAATAGCATGGCTCTATGATTTCAACTAGAAATATTAGGGCTTCGGTTCCCCATTACCGACGCTACGCTTTGGTAACATGAAGAGCATGAAGGAAGATGATTTCAAGTATAGCCTACCTACAGTGTTGGAGAGTGCTCCGGTGGTTGTTGAAGCGTTTGGAGGTAAAGAATTACATAGAGAAATCTAGAGAATGCACAATCAGGTGATGATATTGTGTGCCGTTTACTCTTTCCTCCTCTTCTTCTTTCTTCTTCTGAAATTCTTGTAGTGAGTGATTGTTGTTGAGTCTTGTTGAACTGTAATTGTTGTAGACTGATTAGTATAGGATACCAAAATAGGAATTGAGGTTGAAAGAGGTATATCTCTACTCTTTCATAGCTTTAATATGAAGCTCTAAGGAGTATCTCGAAGGACCTTTAATGGTGATTAGGGAGTGAGTTAAGGATGAAGAAGATTTAGTGCATGGGAAGTTTTTCAGGGTAAGGGTATGAGTGGTTGTTGACGATCATTGAAGAGGAAGAAAGAAACTTATATAGATGGAGTCGGTGAATTTAAGAGGTAAAATTTGTTGCAAGTTAGTTAGGATTGAACAATTCCAACCCTTGGATTGTGATCCTAGACACACTCTTATCAAGGGTTAAGGATTGATGAGAAAAGAATTAGATTTTGTTAGTTGGAATCAATGAAATGTGAAAGGCATTTGTGTTTCTTTTGAACTATAATTAGTGTAAAAACTTTGATCAAAATGTGTTTGCTTGAGGCTTTTTGTAGTTGGTTAAGATTGGGAAATTAGTTGATTTGTTTTCAAGGGAGATTTGAAGCCTAGGGCCAATTTAGTGATTATTAGGTTGGTTAGAGTTAACTACCAGGCTGGTTATTGGCAGTTAGTGAATGGTGATAGTTTGTTAATGGTTAGGCTAAACAGCTAGTTAGATGTTAACTAACTGTAACTCACGGTTAGGGTAGTTTGTGAAGTTATGGAAATACTTTGTGCCTTGGTTAGCTGACAATTAGAATTAGGGCTTAGCAGTTAGTATGCTTACTTGGGTGTTGATATAGAAGTCAATTGATGGCTTCTTATGTATGATTTGTTCGGGTTATGTGAAATTCTAAGATTAGGATGGTTTCATGCATGCATTGTATGTTGAACTACATACTTGAATAACATTGATAGTTTTGAATTTATGAACTACTAATGTGTGCTGCTATGCTTGTTGTATGTGTAATGAATTGATGGTATGCATTGATAACGCGAAATTATATCTAATATTTGACTTGACTCACATGAATTTTATCTGCTTTTATTATTGTTTTTTTTATTTATCTTCGATTACGCCTTTGTTTTCTTGTGTTTTGTAGGTTACCATAAATATGGACTAAAGAAATAAAAGGAGAAATAAATGAAGGAAATGGAAAGAAAAGAGAAAGAAAAGACCAAAGAAAGAAAAGAAGAAGAAAGAAAGAGAAATGAAAGAAAAAAAGGGGTGGGGGCCACCACACACCAAGTGGCACTTGCCACTTAGGTGTGGCGCCTGCCACCTTCCCACAGAAGGGAGTGTGGCGCCTGCTGTAATACCCCAAATTTTGCCCTAAGATTTATCGTTTCATCTTGCATTCCATTGCATTTTTGCATTTCATTTAACCAGTCACTAACAAGTTTGTGTAGTTGGTTGATTTTTGCAGGAAAATATCATGCGACACACTTTTTAGTTCATGAAGGATAAAATGGTCATTTGTTTGCAGCCGACTGTCAATTTACGAATTTTGAACTGTAGTCAGGAAATTTGAGCCATTGGATATTGTTGATGGGAGTCGGGGCCGAGATGTAGTTGGAATGGTTTAATTGTGGAGGATTTGAGCTGTTCAAATTAAATCGATTCAAGTTATTGGATTGAAGTTAGCCAGAGAATATGATCATTTGAGTTTAATCAGACAGTTTGGATTTATTCGGATAAGGTTGTTCATTTGAATTTCCGGAAGGTTTAATCGAAAATTATGTCGGAGACGGGATTAGTCGGATCAATTGGATGAATCTGGAATTAAGAAGAAAAATAG